ATCTTCCCCTGGAGCTTAGTGGCTCTTCCCCAGCTGCAGTGGCTCCACTGCATGTGTGTTGCACAACGTGTCTACACATCCATGTTCTCCAGGAAAGGAGGTTGCTGGGACCAGACTGCATGAATTGTCTGTGGTAGCCAGTAGTTTCTTCTGTGTCTGCCCCTGTGTTTTTCTCAGGAAGAAGGCTGTGTGGAACGGGCTTAGTGGGCAGACAGTGCAGTCGCAAGCAGTCCTTTCTCCAAGCAGCAACTGGGAAAGTGCCTGTGTATAGCTGTCTATACACAGGTAGAAAGTTACCTGTGCTAGATAGATACCTACATACAGCTACCGTCTTACACCTGGAGTGTGTGTAAGGCTTGTCTGCAACTTGCATAGTAAACTTTGTACATATGGATAGTAGGGACAGTGCTTCCTCATGTAGGATGTCGGTGCCTCTGTGATGGAAGAATTACAGGCTCCAACCTTCTGTTGCCATTGAAACAGGCTGGTTGGTCTGCATGGCCTTCTTGGCTGTTCCTCTGTTGCAGTACTACTTGTTGGGAACGATTTCTGCATCCTGTAGTAAAGCTGAAATTGAGCCTTGGTTTTCTGCCTCCTGGGTATATTCAACCATTAGGTTAATGTATGAGAAGTGTGCAGTACCTCCATATCATTTACTAGTGTCTTAGAAACAAGTATCTGCATATGTATTTGAGACCCTCTGCACATGGCCTGAAGCTGTCTTAAAAGTATATTAAGTACCTATATGCTCTGGGAAGAAAAATACATAGATGTGCGTAGTTAACTTCAAGCAAGTATGATCTCACTGTACTTGCAGCTGGGCCGATAACTCAGGCATGGTGCAACGCTAGTGTCTGTGTTGGCCAACATCTAGCCACAGCATGAGCAGAAAGATCATGTTTGCTTGCAGTCAGATGTCCAAATCTAGCTTCTTTCTTTCTTAATCTGGTACATCCTTGTCTCTGTGCTGGATTCAGATTAACTAGATGCTCTCAGGGATGGGCATGGACACGTATTGCTTTAAGGCTGCCTTAAAACTTGAGGTTTTTCTGGAATTTGGCAGTACCTGAACAGAGATTTCCAGCATAGTGATACTGGACTGAAAAGCCTGTACTTTGCCTTAGATATGTCTTCAGCTTCTGGAGCTCGAAAAGCTCATGTGCCTTTGAAGTGATCTCATATTAGAAAAGTAACAGTTATTTCATATATATTTCTTATTACTGTAGTTAAAATCCCTCAGAGCATCAGTGTTGTCTTACCACCTGTTAGTTCCAGTCTTCAAAGGTGATGTTCATTTAAGTGGAATTTTGGGAGGTGAAGAAAATTATTACAGTTAGATTCCTGGCTGTTGTGAATCTATTCAGGGAACAGCAAGCTACCGCTGGTTTCAGAAAGAATGTGTGTAGTACTGCTGAAATACTTCAATAGCAGAAAACAGACTTAAAACACCACTAGTAATTTGGTTTTGTTATTTTGTAAGAACCACCTCACTTGTTGGCTTGTCTCTGAGCAATGCAGATGGTGATAGGAACAGTGCGAGAAGGGACTGCAGTTCAGCAAGCCTGGTTGTCAGTACTTGTGAGCAAAACCAGTTTGTAAGGGCATCTATTTGTGCTCCCACTGAAGCATCACAGAAGGGTTGAGGTTGGCAGGGACCTCTGGAGGTCGTCTGGGCTAATTCCTGCTCAATCAGGGCCACCTAGAGCCAGTTGCCCAAGACCACGTCCAGACAGATTTTAAATATTTCCAAGGAGGGAGCAGAACCTCTCTGGGCAACCTGTGCCAGTGCTTGGCCACCCTCACAGTTAAAAAGTGTTCCCTGATACTCAGATGGACCCTTCTGTGTTTCAGTTTATGCCCATTGCCTCTGGTCCTGTCACCAGGCACCACTGAAAAGAGCCTGGGCCTGTCCATCTTCTTTATATCCTCCCTTCAGATATTTGTACACATAAATAACCAACTGTTGTGGAGCCCTGGCCTGGGGCTTCAGACACAACTGGTTTGCAGGCCGTGCTAGCTCGGCTCTCGCCGGGTTCTGTGCTTTGCTGCAGGCTAGCACTGATCATCCCGGGGAAGGCAAGTGAAGAGGTGAGCGGAGTTGTGCATTTAGTGGAGAGAAAGGGAGAACATTCTTTATGGCATGTTTGCATGTTTGGGTAACCAGTAAATGCTCTGATGCCCGGGAGTAATGAATACAGTGGCATAAATACATGGCAATCAGCCCTTCAACAGCACTGACTCAGCAGAGTGAACATCAAGATCCTGATATTGCAAGACTTGGTTTTTTTATTTTCAGATTATTCCTCTTCTGTTGTGCAGTCTCTTCTATAGATCTGAATGCAGCTTTTAAAACAGCTCAGTTTTTTGCTTCCGTTAATTTAGAAGATGGTTTTAGCAATTTGCTGCACTGTTAGACATGTTCTAGGTTCCCGTTTCATTCCCATTGCTAACAAAAAATTCATCTACATTTAGCTACTGCCTGAAACTTGCCTCTCCTAACCAGATATTAGAAAGTTCTGAATGTTTATCGTATATTGCCTCTGGTCACAAGGGATGTGGAGAAGGCTGAGGTTCTCAATGACTTCTTTGCCTCAGTCTTCACTGGCAAGGGCTCTAGCTGAACTGTCTAAGTTGCAGAAGCTGGAGGCAGGGACTGGGAGAAGGAAGATCCGTGTACTGTAAGTGAAGAGTAGGGTTGTGACTAAAGAATCCGGAGGTGCACAAGTCCATGGGACCTGATGAGATCCATCCATGTGTCCCGAGAGAACTAGCAGACCAAGTTGCTAGGCCGCTTTCCCTCATATTTGAGAAGTCATGGTAGTCTGCTGAAGTGCCCACTGACTGGAAAAGGGGAAACATCACCCTCATTTTCAAAAAGGGAAAAGAGGAAGACCTTGGAAACTACAGGCTGGTCCGTCTCACCTCTGTGCCTGGCAAGATCATGGAGGAGATCCTCCTGAAGGCTCTGCTATGGCACATGGAAAATGTGGAGACGATTGGTGGCAACCAACATGGCTTTGCCAAGGGAGAATCCTGCCTAATGAATCTGGTGGCCTTTTATGATGGAGCTACAGCATCAATTGACAAGAGAGGAGCAACTGCTGTCATCTGTCTGGGCTTGTGTAAAGCCTTCGACACTGTTCCGCACAACATCATGATCTCCAAATTAGAAAGACATGGATTTGACTGATGGACGACTCTGTGGATAAGGAATTGGCTGGAAGGTCGCACTCGAAAGAGTTGCAATCAGTGGCTCAATGTCTTGAGTGGAGACCAGCAACAAGTGGTGATCCTCAGGGGTCAGTACTGGGACTGGTGCTATTTAACATCTTTGTTGGTGACATGGACAGTGGGATTGAGTGCACCCTCAGCAAGTTTGCCAACGACACCAAGTTGTGTGGTGAGGTTGACACGCTGGAGGGAAGGGATGCCATCCAGAGGGACCTGGACAGGCTGGAGAGGTGGGCCCAGGCCAACCTCATGAAGTTTAGCAAGGCCAAGTGCAAGGTCCTGCACCTGGGTTGGGGCAATCCCAAGCACAGATACAGGTTGGGTGATGAGTGGATGAGAGCAGCCCTGGGGACAAGGACTTGGGAGTGCTGGTGGATGACAGGATGAAGCCGTGAGCCAGCAGTGTGCACTTGCAGCCCAGAAAGCCAACCGTATCCTGGGCTGCATCGAAACAAGTGTGGCCAGGTTGAGGGAGATGAGTCTGCCCCTCTACTCTGCCCTCCCGAGTCCCCACCTGGAGTACTGTATCAGCGCGGGACCCCCCAACACAAGAAAGACATGGAGCTGTTGGAGCGAGTCCAGAGGAGGGCTACCAAGATGGTCAAAGGGTTGGAGCACCTTTCCTATGAGGACAGGCTGAGAGAGTTGGGGTTGTTCAGCCTGGAAAAGAGAAGGCTCTGGGGAGACCTTACAGCAGCCTTCCAGTACCTGAAGGGGGCCTACAGGAAGGCTGGGGAGGGACTTTTTACAAGGGCCTCAATGATAAGATGAGGGGTAATCGTTGGAAGCTGGGAGAGGGCAGGTTTAGACTAGATATAAGAAAGAAGTTTTTCACCCTGCGGGTGGTGAGACACAGGAACACGTTGCCAAAGGAAGTTTGACGCTCCAACCCTGGCAGTGTTCAAGGCCAGGCTGGATGGAGCCTTGAGCAACCTCGTCCAGTGGGAGGTGCCCCTGCCAATGGCAGGGGGGTTGGAACTAGATGGTGTTTGAGGTCCCTTCCAACCCAAGCTGTTCTATAATTCTATGAAACAATTTTTAAAGTTGTTGTTCCTGAGGCTTTTGAAACCCTTAATCAAGGGAAATCGATTTCATCAGTCATATCAAGTAAATCTTAATCCGTTGTATTTATCTGAAGAATGCTGTTGAGTTGGCATGTGCATAGGTTTCATTTTAGAAAGTGAACGAAAGCATTGCAGTGTTTGAACATCAAGTCAGAAAATGTAACAGTAGAGTTGAAAGCCATCTTCTGTGCCTGGTCCATCGTTGCAATTTCATCTGTATCAGTTAAAATCTAGAAAAGAAAATTACATCATTGCAATGATAATAATGCTTGAAATATTAAACTTCTGTGTGTTAAAAAATCTGTAAGGATTTACAGTTACTTTAGGTTAAGGTTGGATTGTTTTGGTCAAATGCAGAACAACCTTTTTGTTTTAAAAGTATTTCCGTTGCTGTTAAGCATTCTAGCGGAACAAAAAGGCGAATTAGTGGAAATGTTTGAAGGAAGCATTGGTAGTGTCTTTGTGAAGAGAGTCAATGACATTAATTCCCATCAGAAAGTTCTTGTGTGCATTGTGCTGAAGATCTTAAAGGCACAAAGTATTGCACAAGTATTAAAGTATTAAAAAAGCCAGAACTTGGTGAGATTTCTGTGTTGAGGAGAGGTGCATTCTAATATTTTTAACACTGTTTTTTATTAACATTTACATATTTTTCTAGAATATGCTTTTAAGGCCATAAACCAAGGCGGACTTACGTCTGTAGCTGTTCGTGGGAAAGATTCTGCAGTAATTGTAACACAGAAGAAAGTACCTGTAAGTAGTCTGGTTTTGAGGGGGGGACTGGAAAGGAGATGAGAAGAAAGGTGGGGGTGAGACTCTGCAACATTGATACCATGTTTATTAGCATTAATATATATTGCTGTTTGAATTTAATAATATCTTGCTATTGTTATGCTTATTGCAAGTTCTAGCTCTGTTTAGTGCTCAGTTGTGTGTTTCCTCACCAGGTAACGTTGGTTTCCTCTGTAGTTGTCAAGGGGATAAAGCTAAAATACGAAGTTGGTGCCGCTGTACATTCTGATTTCTTTAATTCCTACTCAGAAAACATTGTAGAAGTAGCATTCAGAACACATTTTCATGAGTATTTCAGCACAGTATTGTTGACAAAGGGGGAAAACCCTTGTGTTTGAAGGGCAGCATGCAGTAAGAGCGCATGTATTCTCAAAGTTTCTTCAGAGGCAAAAGGACTTTGATGCTGGTCATGCTTTAGCTGTCATCCTTTTCCAGGTATTGTGGGTTTTATTTTCCCTCTTCTCCTCTTCTTCCTTCACATGCCTATCGCAGAAAATAGTGGAGAGCCTGAAAGACAATTTTAGCACTTAGTTGATTCTTTTGGGCACTTCTGTAGGTACCAGAGCATCCAGAGTCTGTCTGGGTTTTTTGTACTTGAAGGGCAGTATTTTCTATTAGGTTATTTCTATTTCCTCTTTAGGACAAGTTACTGGATTCCAACACAGTGACTCATTTATTCAGAATTACTGAAAATATTGGCTGTGTGATGACGGGAATGACAGGTATTTAATCCACCATGTTTTTTTAAGTATCTGAAGTGTGTCAGACTTTTTTATGTAGTTTGCCAACTCTGCATCACGTAAAACAAAGAAGTGCTCTGGGACATTTGTTCCACTGAGCCTGGCTTTGGAGAACTTGTCTGGTTCTGGTCTTATATTTAAAGACAACTTAAAGTTGGGCCTGGAATTTCCATTCTCAGGCAGTGCTGGGAATAAATGTGGTACATGTTCCGTTAAATTAATAGTAGTTCTTTCTGCCTAGCTGACAGCAGATCCCAGGTGCAGAGAGCCCGCTATGAGGCTGCTAACTGGAAGTACAAGTATGGCTATGACATCCCTGTGGATATGCTGTGTAAAAGGATTGCAGATATTTCTCAGGTCTATACGCAGAATGCTGAAATGAGGCCTCTTGGTTGCTGTAAGTATAGTGTATGAAATTAATCTGTTCTGTTTCTTGTCTAAGCTTGCAACCTTAAGTACAAGAATTCTTGCCCATTTTCAAATTGTGCAAAATATGGATGTAACTGAAGGAGTAAGAGGAGTGAACGGACAAGTGAGAGCTGTCTTGGAAATCTTGAATTGGAGCCATGATTTTACCATTAACTCAGCGTTTGAATGGGAGTGAATGACTTGGCCTCTTTAAAACGTGTGATACTATTTCACTTTCGGTTTTGGGGCCTAGTCTGTTTGCACTGCACAGTCATGTCTGTGAATGGGAGATGCTCTTTTTACTGGTATCTGTGTCTGGAAAATACCACTGTTGAAACAGACATATGGAGAGTGCAGTTGTGCTTCTGCAGATTTTGTGGCTTTTTTATCTAAGTAGTATGTATAGGACAAAAATCTGCACAATTTTTGCTCTTAACCATGATATATACGTAATGTAGAGAAGAAGCACTTAAAAATATTTCACTTGCAAACATTTCTACACCAGTCTGGTTTTCTAACAGCAAATGCAGCTTAAATAAAAAAAAAAAATGATGTGTGTACGGTTGTTTTTTGTAGGTATTCCTGGTCATCTGTGTGTTCTGAGGTTGCTTCTGACTTGTTTTTTCTCTTACATCTGCCTGTGAGCAAATTTCAACCGTACTGTTAGGCTGTCTGGGAACCAAGATAAAAGACTTAATGTTCCCTCACTCAGTAACTTTTTCACTAAACATTCTATCTGGATTTCTTTTTGTTTGCTTGGTTGTTTGGGGGGTTTTTGTTTGTGTTCTTTTTTTTTCTTTTAGAGAGAATAGTTTCAGATTTGATGAATCACTTCTCGTAATCATAGTAGGCACTAGCATTTCTCACTAAATAAGTAACGTTCAGGGTTGCACCACAATTTCCATGATGGGGCAATTTTCCTTTGCTTGTAATGTTCAGGAATGATTGTTTCTTTCTTTCCTTGGCATTTCCCATGCCTTGATAGTACTAGAAAGTGATTTATTTTTTTAATACGTGAATAAAAATGTATTTTTCTTAACTTTCGTTAACCTTTTTTGAAAAGAAGATGGGAAATTTTTTTAGCTGTTGTAGTAATAGCTGCTCAGAAGCTTATCAGCTATAACTACTAGTTAAGAGTTAACGCAAGTTTAAAGCGAAAATAATTTTAAACCTTGACCTTGTTCTGTTTTGGGGTTTTTTTGCAAGTATTGCTTTTGAGTTATTTTCAATATCCATACTGAGACTATACAACGGCGAATCTAGAAGTGTAGGTGAACAAGGCGTATTTCAGTGATGTGACCAGTTTGTGTTACTTGAAGTCTATCCAACTTAGTCAAATGGTCTTCAGAGACTCAGTTTTATGTTCTGGTATTTCCACATTTCATTTCAGATTTTTTTTAAATTATTTTTTTCCTTTAAAGAAAAGGGGAAAAGGGCTGTAATGCAGTGCTTCTCAGGATTACAGTCGAGAAATCTTTTAATATTTCCTTTAGTTTCAACATACTTGTAAAGTTGCTTTCTGGTAAAAGGCACATGTTAATGGAGCTATTGTTTACCCTTTTAAAGTGTCGCATAATGCACAGGATGTGACTGTGGCTGGGTTAACTTTGTATCAGGATTAAACCTGTGGATTTCCTGACTTTGTGGCTCTCCGCAGGCTGAGCATGGCAAAAACGTTTCTATGCTCAGTGAGTAGCATTCTTTGAGAGTGACAGAAATTAGTTTGCACTAGACTGAGCTGCACACCTAGTAGTGAGATGCTGGTAAGAAAGGGCATATTAGAGGTAAAGAGGAAATCACAGCTGTAGGTATTGGACTGGTTCCCAAAAATGTACCACCGTGCATGCACGTTTTTCACAGGAGAGGAGTATCTATTCTATTCTTCAGTTGAATGAAATTGCTAGAATAGGGGAAAGAATTTAATTAACAGATTTTTCTCTTCAAGGTATGATTTTGATTGGTATTGATGAAGAACACGGCCCTCAGGTATACAAGTGTGATCCGGCAGGTTACTATTGTGGATTCAAGGCCACAGCTGCAGGAGTTAAACAGACAGAGTCAACCAGTTTTCTTGAAAAGAAAGTAAAGAAGAAATTTGATTGGACGTATGAACAAACAGTAGAGGTAGGCCAGCAGAAGGAAATAAAGATTTGTTGAAGTATTTTTAATGAATATGCTTGTGATCTAGAGGAATGCGGTTAGGCATTTCCTGTTTTCATACAGTTCTGTTTTGCTGCCAGAGCGAGTATAGCTATTCCAACCAGAAAAATCTTTTGAAGGTATTTTGCAAATGCTTAAGTAGTCGTCTGATCTGTTTTTTCTGCTTTACGTTAGCTGAAGCAGAATCTCTAATTGTTGCACTCCCACTGTAGCTGGAGGTTGGTTACTACAGTGCTTGATTCTGGGAATACCAGTACAATTTTCTTTTAGTGGCACTTGAAACGAACTTCATGTTAGAAAGCATTTCAAACAGGATGGGGTAGTGCTTGTCCACGAGTTTAGTAAATATAACACCACCTGTTATGCCTACTGTGAAAACTGTTGTTCAAGGCCCATTATAAAAATGTATCCTACTTACAAAGCAGGTCAGTGAACTTATTTTATAAATCATCCGTACTTTTTCACTTACACTGTAGAGATCTGTCTGAACAGTCCTTCCATGGCCCCCCTGTTTCTCCTGTCAGGCCTTGTTCTTCTCTCAAAATGTTATGTTTCCTGCATCACAAGATCAGCAGCTGAAATGAGGAGTCATAACCCAAGCAACTGACTCCCCTGTATAAACAGAATATTGTATTAAGAGCCCTGTGAGTGCTATGCAGATTCAGACCTTCAGCTAAATTACTTCTGAAGTCTACGTTACTGTGAAAGTACCATTTAAATAAAAAAAAGTTCTTCAGCATAAACCCCTGAGTTTTATATGTGTGTCTTAATAAGTACTGATTTCCTTAATATGTGATTTCTTTAAAGAAAAGATCCTGAAGGGGTTAAATAATCATAGCATACTGAAATTGAATGTATTTGAAACTACCTCAGAGATCCTTTTTATCCTGGCTCTGGTTTTCACATTAAATGTGTTTTTCTATCACTGCTTGATTAGACTGTACTTGTCTCTTAGTTGAGCGGTTGGAAGTAAATGAAAGAGTCTTTTCACATTCTTGTTTCTAATTCATAAAAATTCCATGGTATGTCGCAAATACTTAATTGGTAATTAACCTGCCAGTCAGATCCTGGATGTGCTTCTATATCTTTTTGTGGTCTTTGTAAAAAATGCCCAGATTGTGAATGTAAATTACAATCTGTAACAAAACCTTTTTGTTACAAAAGTAACAAAACTGTTACTTGAAAAGTTGTTGGTGACAGGGAGAAACAAGTCTGTCAAGCAAAAACAGGAGTCACGTTTTGCACGCGCACACACACGTTCTGCTTTTTTTTAAAAGCTTGTGGTGCGTTCAAGGTAATGCTCAAAGGCTAAAAATTTTGGGGTTTTTTTGTTGTTTGGGGGTTCTTTTTACAACTTGGCAGTCTTTTGATAAGACATCTATATAGTCTTACAGAATTACTGCACAATCAATATATTATCAACATATTGAAAATAAACTTTAGAAAAGTCTTGTCTGGTGCTCTACACTTCCTGACACATTACTGCTCAGAATTAAATGCCAGTGTGTCAGAATAACAGATTTGATAAGCATCTAGTCACATAACTGTTTAATGAAACTTCTTTTTGTGCCCAGCTGTCATTTTGGGTATACCTTTGTAGCATTATTGTGACCCTACTGCAGGTTAACTATGAGTGTGGTTGCAAAGAACACCTTTTAAAACAGGTTATGATTAGGGTGGGGAAAAAATAAGTTAAGCCAGCTTTTAAAAACAGCCAGCATAATTTTAATTACCAGAAGAAAAGCCAGAATGGAAACTTTGCAAGCTTTGAGTAATTGTGGAATGTAATGATGATGTCTGTCTTGTTTGCTGCTAATGAATTATGTTCTGTCCTTGGGACCTGGGGTTTTAATCTTTGCATGATAAGAGGTTTTGGGTTTGTTGCGGTGTGTTTTTCTGCTGTGAAAATTACATATCACTTTGGTTTTCATAGATTGGGCTTTTTAGGGAGAGGACCAGAGAGGCACTGTAGTCTGTAACAAGGGGAAACTATTTGAAACTTTTCAGCTGAGACTTTGAAGTGGAAAGGAATAACTTAAGACTAGAAGGAAGGGTAGTTGTTAATGCTATGTCTGTTTAAAAACAAAAACCAAAAAACCCTTAGTGCTTTCTGTTTAATGATAGGTTTTTTGTTTATCTTTCAGACAGCAATAACATGCCTGTCTACTGTACTATCCATTGATTTCAAACCTTCAGAAATAGAAGTTGGTGTAGTTACAGTGGAAAATCCTAAATTCAGGTAAGTTGATCAGTGTTGGTAAAACTTGGTGTGTTTCTCTGGTTATGTGCAATTAGTTTTAACTTCTTGTGTAATGGTAAATCGAGAGAGAGACACATGTCAGAATTTGAAGTTTGGGATTTTTTTTTACTTCTAACTCTTGAAAATGTATTGGGGTAAAAGGCATTTGAAAAGAATAATAACACAGATTTAAAATGTTTGATATGGTTAAGGAATCCAGTAGAGAAAAGTGTTGTCTTTTGTTTCGTAAAAGGGTATTGCTTTATGTGATGATTATACTGTAGTTACATCTGGTCTAGATGATTTTTCATGCTTAAAAGAATAAAAATTTTTCTTTGTACTAGTATCTGGAGTCCACTTTGAAATCATAGTCATGACAACTAACACAGTAAAGTCTTTTATATTAGGGAAAATTTTGTAAGTCCCTTCGTTTTTTAATCCCTTTCTAAATAGGATCTTTAAATTACTCTTGCTCATCTTGGTATTGTAGTAGTTTTTAACATCTCCAGTATATAGTTAGTAGATTATGAATTTGTGTGATTTGAACTGTGGTATTTAAATTTGACAAGATTAAAAGTTCCTGGATTTAAAAATCACTGCAGTGATTTGGAACTTTTACTTTCTGAGTGCACTGCATTCCCACGTAGCGTGAAAGCCACACGCCTGCAATTTCCTCCTTCCCCCATTATTGCCTGAACCTGAGTGCAGCACGCTGTGTGCAGCAAGGTGTCTTGGTCCGTCTGCCGAGGCACCACCTGGAAATCCTTTTGCTGAGGGCTACACCTCACGTGAGATACAGCGTGCTTGACAGTCTTCTCACAATGTGATGTATAGCTGCAGAAGTATGCATGGAAGGGGGGAGAACAAGTCTTGGGGCTTTTTGTTATTGCAAATGGACACTGTAGGTATGTCTTACCTAAAATTTAGGTAAGTCTGACATGCTGCAGAGGAGTTCAGTTATTTCTGCCTTAGTCTTTCATTGTTGTTTTTTTTTTTAAATTAAAAGAAAAAAAAAGGGGGGGACACACACAGCTAAGTGTCTAAGGAAGAAGAGTCCTCTGCTGCTTTAGTCAAGCTGCTTGGTAGGTGGGGATTGGAGAGAGGCTTCAAACCTTTGGGTCCTATAGGTGCAGTCTTTTGAGTGCTTCCTAGTTTAAAGTTGACATGGCAACCATGGCTGGTTTTGCGTTTGGTGGTATGTGTTTAGGACAATGGAATAGCACAATGTTTTTGAGAAAGCATGCGGGAGCTGCATTACCCCTTTGCTGCTGCTGCTCGAGGGTCAAGTGCTAGCTTTCTGCCCAACTTCGTTTACCGGTCTCGTGTCCTATTCAGAAAGGATGGATAACAAGCAGAGGGAGGAGGCTAAGAAAACCTCTGTCCCCTTTGGAGTAATCATACTAGTTACCATACCCATTCTTCTCACCAGGACCCAGCTTGCAAGTTTATTACTCATGAGGAATTTCCTGTTCTTTTTCTACCATGTGTTACCTCTTTGCTCTCTAGTTCTTTCGATTCTTCCTTTATTTTTCAAAACCAGTGGGAATGTTGGCCTGCGGCCCTGGCAGCAGGGCTTTAAAGGACTGAAAGATGCATTGTATAAAATTATTTGGGTAGATACTAGGTTGTAATATTTGAGCTTAAGGGGAAGAATCATTTAAGCTATTTAAGACATTTTTGTTGTTGTTGTCTTTCAGGATCCTTACAGAAGCAGAGATTGATGTGCACCTTGTAGCTCTGGCAGAGAGAGACTAATTAGCATTCCCATTTCCATTGTCTGTGCTTCTGGCTGGGAGATTTGGTGAAAAGAAAACACTTACTAATGGCTTTAGATTATGGGTGGAAAACAATGTTCACTGTATGATGTATTTTACTCTGTACAAATAAAACAGAGGTTTTTGAAATACTTGGTGTCTCCTTCTACTGTATTTTTTTAAGTTTCAGTTCTGTGAAATACACATCAAAGTGCTTGATGACTTTGAATGTTTTTGTGATGATTGCTTGCCTTTTAGTTGTATTTTAAGAGAAATTTTATACTCTGTGCTTTGGCTCCTAGTGTAAAGTTTTATAACAGATAATGTGGGGTGTGTGTCTTGAGAGAATTCTTGCATTTACATGTGTTCTCTTCTTGCCCTGATGTTGAAAGGTTTTTAACATCACTGGTTTAACTGGGGGGAAATTAAGAATATATTAATATTTGCTCACGTCTCTGTGAGGATATAGGACAAAAGTTGAAAGAAAAAACTTGAGCTGCAATTCCCAGTGCATTCCTTTAGACTGATTTATTTGGGGTGCAGGTAATGAGTGTAACAGACATCTGCTATAATTAATCAGTTCTGAAGCTGGCGTTTATTTAGGGGAACAGATTTTACATGTGGTGTATTTTAGGATTTTGGCTGTTTGTCACCTACCTGGTTTTGAGGCGTTGGGCAGTGCCAGAAACAATGTTGGGGCTGGATAGAGGCAACAATGTCCACCAACAAGAATGTCTCTGGGATGCAATTCTCCTTGCTCCTTCAAAGATTCTGGGCTCAGAGAAAAGAGAACACTGCAAAAACTTTAGTCACGGTGAAGGGAAATACATTTTTGTGTTGCTGCAATTGAAGAGGTTTCGGCCTCAGCAGTAAAAAGGGAGATGATGAAGTTGTGAGGGGGGAGACACTGAGGAGAAAGGGAAGATTAGCAGGCATTTTTAGCTGTTGGGTAGACACGGGAGTCGTCTTGGAAGAATGCCAAGCTAATACAACTTAGCTCCTTGCCTTCATTCCTCTGCTGTGCTGTTCCTGTGTTGGCTTTAATGACTCCAAAATTCTCTTTGATTTTTTTTTTTTTTGAGACATTTGGGGAAGGCCTCGTAAGTCATCAGAAACTGGGATTGCTTAATTTTTTTTCTTTTTCTTTACAGTTAAAGCCCCTTGAATGTGTTTTTTTTCAAGTTCATTGTAGTAAAGGGGATGCAATTCTGTGCGGTGGTTTTAATAAAAGCTAATGCTAACCTTATGTGATAACTGAGTTGAGGAGATACAAATGTACTGTGAATTACTGACTTTACAAAGCTTCCTGAATTCCCATTAGTGCTTCCAAATTTCAGCTTTCCTCATGTCAGATAGCGTAGTGTAGATGGTAAGATGAAGCCATGCTTGCTTCTGGTTTTGGGTTTGTTATCTGAGAATTCTGTGTGGTTTTGTGCAACAATTGGCAGAACAAATACTAATGGCACATATGGAAAGGTCTGTGTTGTTCTAAGTGACAGCTGAGTTACTGAAACTTCCTAGGAACTTTCTTCCTAATCTTCCAGTTTTATAACAACCTAGGATTTGAGTAGACTTAAGTCATCATTTACTCTGCCATAAAATATAATCCACTGGTACTGTGTTCTTGCTCAGCTTTAATTATGAGTCTAAAACTTCACTAATGACTTCTTGAACAAAACAAATTAAAAGGAAGATGACAATTGGGGAGCCATATGACTAGAGCACATTTTCATAGTGTTTAGTATTAAAACGCCCTGCAACAACTTTAATTCTAAATTTTGGAGCTTGTATGTGATTGTATAACTCAGATGGTGGTTCTGAGAGCAAGGGGTGTTTGTACCTTACACTTCTGCAGTGCAGAATGTCCCTTCTTGCGTTCAGAGATGATGAAATAAGCTGTCTACAGTATATTAACTGGGAATGTTGCATTTTTTTTTAATAAGCAAACTTAAAATTGCAGCAGCTGAAATGCCATTTTTGCTAGTATTTTGTCCTGTAGTGAAAATTCATGGTTCTCTTTTACTACTAATGATTGGGATTTTTCTTTTTCGGTCAAAGCTTTCTGTTGTTTGAGATAAGGCAGCTACACAGATGGGGATACCTGACCTAATGGGAAAACCCCACGAATGACGCATGCATGTGATCCCATTCCTCGCACCCTGGAGCAGACGGCACCTGCAACCAAACTGTACCGGCTGTGGCTGGTGTCGAGCGGTACCTGGTATCGTCTGCTATTTCAAACCTGGCACGTGCAGAGAAACTAGAGCGTGCATGCTATGGTCCTAACGCTTCTCGTCTGGCTAGAGCTTATCAAGAGCGACACCAGGCTTGGGCTCGCTCCATGTGTTTGTGGTTTGTTGTGCCAGTGCTGAAAACTCTGGTAGGTGCAGTTCCAGTGTGAATGCACAAGCGGTTAAGCAGGAATAGGATCAAGTCTTATTTGCGTACTAGACCCAGATTGGTGTTACCTGTGCTAAACTGGGACGGGCTCTGCCCAGCCATGTAACTACGTCCACGTTAGATTCCCAGTGCTCTTCGTAGGATATAAGTTATGTAGAGTGGAAGGATGCAAATCCAAGCGCATGCAGTCAGCTTAAGTAAATCAGTGTTTATTGGCCTCTGGAAAGCATCTGGATTTCTTATGAGCACGCCCCCTCTGCCCCAAAGGGGGCCCAGAAGCTGTAACGGCACATATAGACAGAAATAGCTTAATAAGGATTCTTAGCATAAATAGTCTGTGGGTCCTCAGGAGCTGTCTGTGTATTCATCTTGGAAACAAAAGATGTTAAGGCAGGCAGGAATGAACCTCTTTAGGATCTTAAATGCAACATGTGGTACTGAATCAACTTGCAATGCACAATGTTTGACCACTACTTTTCACTGCAAAGCCTCCAGTGATGACAGTCTAAGCACAGAGAGGTAGATGGGGAGTTCAGGTGGAGCAAGTAAGTGTAGATATATTACAGTGATGTTAATGACATGGGATGATATGCTGCATTCTTCTCTACCTTCTCTGTCCTGTTTCTCATTAAGCCAGTGTCCAGGTGTCCAAATATTTTGGTTCAGTGCACATTGTTGGAAGTAAGATGGAAGAACTAGGTAGGTAGCTTGCTGGCATCTGAAGAAAAAAAGAAAATGAACTTTCCCATTTTTTTCCCTGACACAGAAGCAAAGCCTGCTATTTGAGTTCTGCCAAACAGCAGCCTTGTTCGCTCATGAGATCAAGTTTTGTGAAGCGTATCCATGACAGTATTCATCTTTTCCTCTAGAAAAAGCCCTACGCTACCAGGGTGATAACGGTAGGGGCATTGCTGTTCATTTTGTAATCAGTGATTTCTTTTTTTTGAGATGGGAAGTTCTTAAATTGTCATAGCTTGTTCCAGCCAGTTCTTGCTAGTAACGGTTTGTTCTGTTCTCTTGTTTTGCTGTAACCCAAACTATTTGGAAACAATGCAAGACATCCTGTAGGTCAGGATCCATTGGGACAGTGAACTCGAACTTCTCATGCCCAAACTAAAACAAGGATCATCACGTGCTTATGCAAAGTTGCTTAAAATAGTGTCTGGATTTTGTTTGTTTATCATGAATCTCACATTTAAAAAAAAAAAAAACAACACACCAACAAACAAAACACTTTCTCTTGTACTATGTCTGTACAGATAAACTTGCATTTCTTAAATGACTCTCAAAAACCTCCGTTATTAGCAGTATTTGCTGCTATTCACCAAGCGTTTCTTAGCATAGTAATCTTTTATTTAGTAGTAGTCCTACCTGTGTCACCATCATCTCTGCAAATTCTGTGCTGCAGTGGTAAGTATGGGAACCGTAATGTACTTGACTATAAACCTTCTGAATAAATAGACCCAGCATATCACCAAGTCAAAATCCAGCTAACTGCATTTGGCAGAATTGAGTCATCTATGAAGAGGTGTGTGCTTCCATTTTTTGGGTTAGTATTTTTCCCCTGGTGCTTTTTAGAACTTGTCACCTGTAGCTGAGCTTACCGGTGCTGCAAATGCACTGCACAGCCTTGCTGTGCAACTCTTTGTGGCTTAGCTGATGTATATGTTGAACCACAAGCCTCTGAAATAAAGTTTCCTAAGGCTTCAGTGGAATAGTATGCAGTGCAGATGGGGACACACCAGCCAAGATGTAATTTTTTGGCCAGCAAATTATATCTGTTTGTTTTCTTTTCCAGAAACCTGCCTCTTGTGACACCCACCGGCATAGTGGGTGGTTAGTAGTTAGTAGTAGTGGATGGATAAATATGGCATGAAAGTGCATGATCAGGAATAGGGATGCCTTTCGGTGACATCGGGTGCTGCTGTGATGATTGCAGGTACGATCGCTCTCCCTGTTCTGCTCACAGATAAGTCCGCCCACTTCCTTCAGCCAGCACTGGTGCTCCTTTACATTTGTAACAAGCTGTTCTGTTTACTAAACTGATGAAAAATATGGTTTTGTTTGGCTCAGTGCTCTGTCAGATCAGTGACCTGAATTGGCTCACTGTGGGATCAAATTGGTCAGAGTGCTGGTGTGAAGGAGGGAAGCGGGAAATTGGATTGCACTGCTTCTGGTTTAAGGCACTGTGGAAACCACAGCCTGCATCACCAAAAGAACAGGAGTATCTACAGCTCGTTATCCCCTGGACTACTCTTTGACTTAAACCTATATGATGGCACCTGGTCCACAAAAGTGGTGTTTGCTTCTCTCAGCAGGTGACAAAAGCCTTCATTGGAGCAGCATCGAGACTACTCCCTTCTAGTCTGAAGAGGGTTTCTTGCGGGACAGCAGTTCCTTCTTGGTTCCTCTGCTCCTATACCCATTGTGTTGACCAGCCATTTCCAGGGCTACCAGGGTAACCTGATTTGGAAACAAAGTATATGGGTTTTTTTTTAAAAAAAAAAAAAAAAAATTAACCCTCTAGAGAAGTAGGATTAACTCAATTTTGAGGCTGGTCCTGCAATGGTAGTACCAGCCAGCACAGGGGGCAGTGCAGGACAGGATCCATAAGCAGGGTCTGGTTAAACTAGTGGTGCATCTGGTAGGAGAGGCAGTCAAAATCCTTCCTTGTAAGCAAATTTTAGTTCTCTGAATCTGTCGAAGCTGCCTTTCTGGAATCTAGCTGGAGGCTGGCATGGCTGGCCAGT